AACACCCCCAAATTATATTAAATTAACTCCTTTTTCTAAAAGCCCATAGGATTCAAATGCGAAGTCAATAATATACTTACACTTGGTAGCAAGAAAGCCCCAGGAAAAGGAATTACACTACAGTGCAAAAATCATATTAAAGTTTCAGGATTTTAAACATATCCAGACAGTAATGCAGTTTATTATTTCAGCCACAGTGGTTACTGTGGACAAATCCCATTTCCTCTGGAGAGTCAAAACAGATTGGAGGATTGACGGAGAAAGTTTAGTCCTGCAATGTCCTGGCAACCTCCGGTTGTGTTGAGCTCTGTAATCTGCTGTGAAATACAAACAGGACCAAAAGCAACAGTATTTGCATAATGAGCCCAACAGACGCGTACTGGGAGTTAAGAAATCACATAGGAGTTTCTGCAGACAGCCCTCATTCCTAGTGAGAAAGGTCAATAAATCTCGCCCAGTTCTGTCTGAAGTCAGTGAGAGCCCTTCCTGTGGCATTACAAGGGTCAGAGACTGATTTTTGACATTACAAGAGGCCATTACTAACATCTCATCTGACCTTTGCATAAGGCAGGCCAAGGAATTTTGCTCAATAGCTCAAGATATTTCAGAAAGACAGCAAGCCTGACTTTAAAGATTTTTTGAGTAATGGAGATTGTAATCCAATTTTGTATAAGTGATTAATTGCCTCAGTATTACAGAAATGCATTTTATTAGAGGATAGAGATGGATCAAGGCTGTAATGACACACAAAAGAACATCTTGATGCTTTCTTTAAGTATAAAAGATAAGAATAACTTATTTTTCTTTAGGCTAAGTAGACCCAATTACTTTACTGATGCTAGATGAATATAAATAACCTTAAAGAGCATGATGCTGCCTTGCAATGATAGTTCTTAGACACTAAGCATCCCCCAGTATGTTGTAGGGTTGTGGGGGTGTTCCTGCTGTTTGGTTATGGTGTGTTTGGGGATCTGGGAAGCCCAGAAATCAAATCTAAAGGCAACTGGGTGCCGAGATAATCACCAGTGTTCCATGGCCAGAGATGTGGCTGTTGGTGCAAGGCACAAGGAGAGCTGCATATGGAGGAACTCAGCCTGTAACCTAGCTGGGTGCAACACTGTGTGGGTGTCCTGATGCTTCCCACAGGCCAGCTGCAGCAGCCGCCCAAGCATGTGCTGTCTGCAGGCCCTGGTGTCTGTCTATCCTGCCTGGGCACCGTGGGGTGCACAGAGTGCCTAGGGAGGTCTTATATTCCTTTCTCACTCTCCTTAATGAGACAGCTTTTGTGAGTCTGTCAGTGCAATATGCTGCTCTGACACCAGGCTCTGTGTCACCAGCCTCTGCCATCTTCAGAGAGGTTAATTGGAATTATTGAGTGATGTTTGGCCCTGGTGGGCTGAGCTCCACTGCAGTGGGATCGATCCTCACCCCCTCTCTTATGGGTTCATCCCTCCCCTCCCACCCCAGGCTGCCCCACACAATCCCTTTAGGGACTGGGCTCTCCACCTGGGACTGCACTGCCAGGATCTGGCACTCCTCTAGCACCAGCACCGCCAGATTGGTGTTTTGTAATAGGCTGCATGCTGTTTTGTAATAGGAAAATATAGATGATTCTATTTATTCTCCCTGGCTCCCGCAACGCTAAGAAATGTTCTAATTCATTATTAATTTGTTCCAACTATTTCTGGTAATTCTAAACTATGAATAACCTTAGTGATGCCATTAGTGATACCTCAAAACTACAGATGTGTTTTAGTTTCTGGACATGGGTATGAGGCAGCGCCTCTGACCTTAAAGGTGTTCCCTAAACCCTATCACATTTGGGTACATAACTGGTACTTGTCATTCACACTGGGTTACAGTGTTGTGACAAACAACCTGGAGCACAGAGAAGTCGTGGCTAGTATTTGTCTGGTGTAAATGATCGTAGCTCAGCAGCTCAGCTCTGTGAAAGTTTGCTTATTCCATCTATTTATGGATTTATTCTCCCCTGAACACAAATGGAAATAAGGATGGGAACAGGCCTGGGTCTGCTGCCAGCACCAGAGGCTGTTGTTCCTCCCATGGGCTGCAGTCAAGGCCTGCAATGACAATCTGCAAGTTGTTGGTGTTAGCATAGAGGAGGGGCCCATAGAACATTACATCTCCAAAAGGTGACTTTTTGGTCTTGTTTGCCTTTCATAATTTATTTCTCTACTGTTCAAATGATTGATCGAAGAACAGTTCTTAAAAAGGATCCAGGAAAATGATATTTTTATTCTCTTGTGAAATACAAATTTATCCAGGTGAAAAAATGGGAGATTATAAATACATCTATTGGTCTTCCAAGGAAATTAGCTGCCACATGTGTGGCATAGCGGCACCCCCTTGTTAGTTGCAGTTAGGCTTTCCATTAATCTAGAAAGTGCTCTCCCTGCCTTTGTGTTTTGATAGGAATGACTCCTCCTTTGCATCTCTTATTTCACTGTATGGGGGTAAGAACACCCGTCACACTGGGCTGAGCACTGAGCTCCTGTGTAGGCAGGCTGGCAGGGTGCTGCTGAGCCTCTGCCTTTGTCACCATTGAGCTCTGAGCAGGGACAAGAGCAGGGTGGCTGCACCTTGTATGCCCACAGTGCCGGCCTGAGGAATGCTGCAGTGCCTCATCACTTCAGAAAGGGAGAAAAAATCAGTCCTTTTTCTCTGAATGTGCTTGAGAATGGCCTTCAAGCTTTTGCTTGGAAAAAGGGTTAAGGTCATAAAAGACAGCAAGGAATTATTGGAAAAGTCCTCCAAAAGAATTTGCTGTGGGATGCAATTGTCTAGCACTTATGAAGAGTCACCTGTGAAGAATGGTATGGAACCAGTCTGCAAGAGAGGCCTCTGGGTCAGGCCAATGCATTTCATAGAATCATAGAATCAGTAAGGCTGGAAAAGACCTCTACGATTATCTGCTCCAATACTCCACCTACCACCAATATTGCCCACGAAACCATGTCTCGGTGCCACATCTACATGTTCCTTCCCCTTCTGGGATTTTAGGCTAAATTTCTGCCTCAGATCCTTCCTTTTTCAACAGATCTCTAGAGCTACAGCCCAAATGCTGATCCTGCTTGTTGCACTCTGCTTATCCGTAGCTTGTACCTCCACTCCAGGATGTCCCCAAGTGGAATGAAAACTCTGGGTAACAGCTTTGCTCTTTGAGCTGATGCAGACTGGAACAGGTTGCTCAAGGAGGTTGTGGATGCCCCATCCCTGTAGGCATTCAGGGCCAGGCTGGATGTGGCTCTGGGCAGCCTGGTCTGCTGGTTGGCCACCCTGCACATAGCAGGGGGTTGAAAGTGGGTGATCATTGCTGTGCCTTTCAACCCAGGCCATTCTATGATTCTGTGATTCTATGAAAGGTAAAAACAAGAAGTTGATAAATCCATGGAGGTATGCCTGAGAGAGAGAGCTAGTAGGGCTCTTTGCTTCAGATAAAGAAGTACTCATTCCTTTATACACTGGAGGAAAAATGTATAACCTTTCATAAGATTACATAGTCCAGTTCCATCAGTCTTCCGTGTTCCTTATAGAAAAACAGGGACATAGAGAGAGAACGTGAGCAGAGTGGCTGCACCTCCAACAGGTGTGTGTGAGATGTCATCTGCCTTTATGGATCAGTATAGTTCCTGACAGTTTGATAGATTGCACTTGGATATATTTTTTAATATGCATAAATATGAAAAAAAAAAAAAAAAAAAAGACGTTTTCTGAATAGCAGAAAAGGTGCCCATCGTGGTAGGTGATGCAATGTTGCATCACATACTTTACAGCAGTTAGTCCCAGTCAGGCTTAACAAGGCTCAGAGGCTGCAAGCACCACCATACATACCTTCAGAATGTTAATGCTCTAGTTAATAAAGCAGATCTTTAAAACATTGTAGTCAGGTAAATTAGAAGGCCTAATTTAAGCTAATGGGAAGAAGATGAAGGAAATTCTGCCAGTAAAAAAACTACTTTTCTTTGGATCCTGCCTTAGGAATTTGCTTTGGAGACAAGCATTGGGAACGTGAAATCTCTCCCAGCCTTGAATTACAGAGCTACCTAGAAAAGTACTTCAACGTGGAGGCCAGATTTAAACCTTTACTTATTCAGCCTAAGTGGTGGTCGTGCCATAGGCATATCTGCACTGCACACACGCGGAGCGCTATGATGCGATGAGCATTTTCTTGGCATGAATCACCTGCAACTTACTCACTTGCCCTAAACCAGCGTCTGTTCACCACAGACACCATCCCGGCGTCACTCAGAAACACAGGAGCACCACAGGAATAATTAAAAAAAAAAAAAACCAAACTCAAACAACAAACCCACAAGCCCAAAACCAACCCAAACCCAACCACCCCCAAGCCTGACACCCCCTGCGCAGCAGCCCTCACGCCGAGGGCCAGGACTTCCCGGCTCCCCTTCCCCAGCCCCTCGACGGGGCTCTCCGAGTTCTCCCGACGGCGGCGGCGGCCGCGCGGTGGCGCCCTCCGCTCACGGACTCCGTTCCGCGTTGGCTCCGCTCCCGCGCAGCTCCCGCCGCCGGGGAAGCCCCTGCGATGGAGCGGCCCCGCAGCGCGGCCCACGCCCGTTCCGTCCCGTCCCTCCTGGTGCGGAGCGGGGCCCGACGAACAGCGCGCTGCCGTCCGTCCGCAGCCATTTCGAGGGGAATCATTCATCGGTTCTAAATTTCCTTTATCTCCGGAAAATCTCGCAAGAGTAAACGACCGTAATAGCAGTGTAATTGTCTGCTGTGTTTTTTGTTGCCGTTGTTTTTGAGAAATCGATCCGGGCTCCAATAACTCATCGCGGCGCGTTACACCAAAAAGAAAAAAAAGCCAGAAACAAAACAAAACAAAAACCAAACCAACAACAACAACAAAAAAACCAAACACAAGAACAAAACAACCCATTCCAATAAGGAAACAGGAGAACGAAATTATTGCCGCTTCCTGAACTCTCTGCTTATGATCCCAATAATTAAAATGTGCGGTAATGGCTCTTGCAACCTCGATCTCCGGGGGTAATTCTCGGAAATGAATGGAGGGGGCGCGGAGAGGGCCGAGAGCCGCAGGATGCGCTCAGAGCTCCGCGGGGAAGCGGCTGGGACGCGGAGCGAGGATTTCCCTCCAGCAAAGCAACTTTTGCGGTGCGGTTTCCGAACTGCTGCCTTCCCCTGGGGATGTGTATGGGGGGTGAGAACAACACTGAGAATCCTCCAATAGAAAAAAAAATAAATAAATAAGGGAAGGGGGGGAATAATAATAAAAAGACCCTCCCCGCCTCCAAAGCCCGGTGGGAACGGGGTCCCCTGTGGGGGCCTCAATGCCTGCGCTGGGGCGCTGAGCAGGGCCGCGGGGAAACCTCCGTGCCAGCCGCACCGCACCGCCCTCCTCCGCCCTTCCCACCGGTGGGTTTTTACATTATTAGTATTTCTTTTTATTAGTATTTTTTTTTTTTTTTTTTGCGGGGGGGGGGGGTGGGGGTGAAGCGTGAGCTGGTGTTTATGAGAAGCCCTATGACTCCCGTTCAGCTCATCCTGGAGGACGACACCGAGCTGTGTTCCTTGAGGAATTGGGGTGGTGACGTCTTTTCTGATACCCGATTATTACGTGACTGGGGGAGAAAAAAAAAAAAAAAAAA